TCCTCCCTCCTCATCCTCCTCCTCCTTCCCTCTCCTCCTCCTCCTCCTCCTCCCTCCTCCTCCTCCTCCTCCTCCTCCTCCTCCTCTTCTTACTCCTCCTCCATCCTCCCTCCTCCTCCTCCTCCTCCTCCTCCTCCTCCTCCTCCTCCTCCTGGGGAAGTCTCGGGAGCAGCGCCCGGGCGGCCCTGCCGACGCGCCTGGTGGTGGTCGAGGGGGGGATACCTGGGAGGAGGAGGGACGGAGGAGGAGGGGGCAGCAGCGGCAGCAGCAGCCGGCGGGGGGTGCGCGCCAAGGCAGAGGACGTGCTGCACGAGGAGGAGGAGGGAGGAGGAGGAGGAGGAGGAGGAGGAGGAGGAGGAGGAGGAGGAGGAGGAGGAGGAGGTGGAGAAGGGCCTTGTGCTTCCATGAGAGGCGGGGGCCGAGTGTGCTTCCATGAGAGGCGGGGGCCGAGGAACGTCCGCGTCGGGAGCAGGAGCGGGGGCGAGGTCTGCGTCGGGCGAGGAGGAGGAGGAGGAGGAGGAGGAGGAGGAGGAGGAGGAGGAGGAAGAGGAGGAGGAGGAGGAGGAGGAGGACGGCGGTGGGAGGAGGGGGGGAGGAGGAGAGAGGAGGAGGAGGAGGAGGAGGAGGAGGAGGAGGAGGAGGAGGACGGCGATGGGAGGAGGGGGAGGAGGAGGAGGAGGAGGAGGAGGAGGAGGAGGAGGACGGCGGTGGGAGGAGGAAGAGGAGGAGGAGGAGGAGGACGACGACGACGACGAGAAGTAGTCTGAGAGGGAGGCAGCGGGCGGGATGTCGTTCCCCCCCCCCCCCTTGCCCTCCCCCCCGCTCGCAGCTGGGGCGACGTGGCCGAGAGGGTGGGCCGCAGCGCCTGGGAGTGCTTCGCGCTCCACCAACGCTTGCAGTGTTCCCCAGCGCAGCTGCGCGGGTGGGTCGACGAGGAGGACCCCGAAGGGGATGTCGATGATGATGCTGATGCTGATGCTGATGCTGATGCTGATGCTGATGCTGATGATGCTGATGATGATGATGGTGGTGGTGATGATGACGATGATGATGGTGATGACGGTGATGATGACGATACTGATGATGATGATGATGTTGATGATGATGCTGATGCTGATGATGGTGATGATGCTGATGATGAAGATGACGATGATGTCGACGTTGTTGCGTTGTGCTGCTGATAATGATTATGACGATGGTGTTGATTGTGATGGCGATGGCTATGATGGCGTTGCTGGTGCAGATGATGATGATGATGATGATGATGATGATGCTGATGCCGATGCGAATGGTGATGATGATGATGATGATGATGATGATGATGATGAGGCTGATGATGCTGCTACTGATGATGCTGGTGATGATGACGATGTTGGTGGTGCTGCTGATGATGATCAGTATGCCGATGGTGCTGATGTTGACGATGCTAGCGATGCTGGTGATGATGGCGGTGATGACGTTGGTGGTGATGCTGTTGATGCTGATATGCGTGATGTTGACGACGGTAATGCTGCTGTTGTTGATGATGGTGATGCTGATGGGTGTGGCGGTGGTAATGATGGTGTTGGTGATGATGACGATGCTGTTGATGACGATGATGGTGGTAATGCTGTTGTTGCTGATGATGATGGTTGTCATGATGATGATGATGCTGGTGATGCTGATGCTGCGATGCTGCTGCTCATGATGATGCTGGTGGTGGCGATGGTGACGATGCTGGTAGTGATGATGATCACGGAAGGTCACCATGGTTATGGTAATCACGTTAATGGTGATGTTGATTACGCCGATGATGATGGTGATGATGTGGGTGGTGTTGGAAGGTGGTGTGTTTCTCCTCCTTGTCTTTGTCCCTCCCCCCCTCTTCCCCTCATCCGCGCAGCGCGAAACGCGACGTCAGGGTGCGCATGCAGCGCCGCCCTTGCGTCGGCTGCGCGGCGCGTGGGCTGCTGGTGACCGCTGCAGCCAGTGCCACGGCTAGTTTTTTTTTTCTGGCGCCGTCTCCCGCATCACGCGCACGCGTTGGTTTCTTTGCGCCGCTGGGCCTCAGGCAACTGACGATGAGGGTGATGGTAATGAGGATCGTGTTGTTGATGGTGGTGCTGGTGATGATGTGGGTGATAATGATGATATTGGTGATGCTGCTGGCGATGATGATGCTGATGATGATGCTGAAGATGATGATGGTGGTAATGATGACGATGATTGTGTTGCCGCAAGTAATGTGTCTCTGATGGTGCTGCGGATGATGATGGTGCTAGTGTTGATGATGGCGATGATGGTTTCATTGTTGATGATGGTAAGTGGCGATGATGGTAATTCTGGTATTGATGATATTGATGATGATGCTGATGATGATGATGTTGATGATGTTGATGCGGATGATGATGGCGTTGACGATTACGATGATGATGCTGATGATTTTTCATGCTGGTGGTGGTAACAGTGGAGAAAGATACTGACCACAAACAAGCGGATTATCTTGATTCGCATGATGAACGCGATGGTGGTGGTGATTGTGGTACCGATCATGATGTTGGTGGGGATGGTGAAGATGAGGAGGACGAGGAGGAGGAGAAGGAGGAGGAGGAGGATGAGGAGCAGGAGGAGGAGGAGGGTGTGAGGTGCATGGGGCGAGACGGGAGGAGACAGGAAGGAGGGCGGGCGGGACGAGGGAGGGAGGAGCGGGGGGGGACGGGGGCAGGATACTGATGATGATGAGGAGGGGGAGGGTCAAGAAGGGAGGATGGGGAGGACGTGAGGACGCCATATGGGGTCGATAGGTACCTCTGGGGGGATTGGGGTAAATCTGGTTAACCACGTTGTGTGTGTGTGTGTGCTGGTGTGTGTGTGTGTATTCCACATGGGTCCAGGGCTGGGAGCTGGATGCGCGAGCCTTGAAGGAGGAGTGCCCACCTAGGCTCTTGACATTTTGTGGGTCGAGCTGCCCTAGCCTTCTTAGCACGTTCTCTCAAGGTTTTCGCCGAGGCAATTGTCAGGAGATCTCAAGTTATGCGGCAGTGGCGTTCGTACGTTGTGTTGGTGGTGGTTGCTGCTGCGGGCATTCCAGAGGGCTATCGAAGACGCCTACGGCGAATCACCACCGCCCCCTGCCTTTTGGATTCGCCCATGTTGCCGAGCGTTGTGGCAAGGGCTCTGCCAAGCTATCGGACCATGTGCTCCCCCAGCCGTTGTGGAAACCCTTCGGGGAACTCTTGGGGGAGAATGGCGGGGCAGATCAGGAGGAGGAGGAGGAGGAGCAGGAGGAGGAGAAGGAGGGGGCATCTTGGGAGGCTCTGGGGGCACTCTCGGGGGCCTCCTGGGAGCTCCCTGAGGGCCTCTTGCAGGCATCCTGGGGGCCTCCTTGGGCCTCTTGGGGGCCTTTAGGGGCTTCTCGGGGACCTCTTTGGCTGTCTTGGTGGGTTCCTGGCCTGTCTGACGCCGTCGGAAGTCCTCTTGGGGGCCTCTCTGGGCCGACTTGAGGCCCTTTTGGGATGCTCCAGGGCCGTCTTGGAGGCCATCTTGGGCGCCTTGAAGGCCTCTTGGGCTTCGTTGGGGCCCTCATGGGGCCATCTTGCAGGCCTCTTGGGCGATCTTGGGGCGATCTTTGAGTGCTCCTGGGCCGTCTCTGGCCGTCGGAAGGCCAAACAGCAACAAATGCTAACTTCCGTTTTTGTTGCTGATCTGTATGTGTATATATATATATAAACATATAGATATTACACAAATCCATGATTTAGGCATCTTCGGGCCTTCCTGGAGGCCCTCTTGGGGGCCTCTTGGCCCGTCTAGGAGGCCTCTTGGGGGCCTCTTGCGGACCTTGTGGGCCGTGGTTGGCCATCTTGAGGCCACCTTGGGCCGTCTTGGATGCATCTTGGGACCATGTTGGGGTCTCTTGGGGGCATCTTGGCCGTCTTGGAGGCATCTTGGCGACCATCTTGGGACTTCTCGGCCGTCGGAAAAGGCCATCTTGCGCCGTCTTGGGAACTTCTTGCACACATTGAGGCGCTTCGCGGTCCCTTCAGGGTGGCCAGCGGCTTGCGTCGAAGCCACAGGGTGAGTTCTTGTAGAAAAGAGCCCAAGCCAAGCCGTATACGATTTAGCACGCCAGGCACCCTTGAGGCAAGCCAACCGGGGGCGGCGGATTTGATGGCCTTCGGCTCATCCCGCCACCGTGCTTGTGTTGTGTGTCTGAGGCCTGCTGGATGTTCGTTGGGATCTCGTGAAGGCATCTTCTTGGGCCTCCTGTAGGCAGTTTGGGGCCCCTTCTGGACCTCTTTTTGGTCCTCGGGGGGTCCTTTCGGAGGCCTCTTCGGGCCTCTCGGGCGGCTCTTGGGGCCTCCTGGGCGCCTCTTTGGGCGGAAGTCTCGGATTTTCAGCTCGGGTTCTCCTTGTGGGGACGTCTTGGGACTTTGTTGGCCGGCTCGGGCGCTTCTTCGGCCGTCTTGGAGCCCTCTTGGGTCGTCTTGGGGCCCTTGTGTGGGCCTCTGGGGCCGTCTTGGTGTTGTCGTTGGGGCCTCTTGGAAGCGCCGGAAGCTCGAAACCTGGAGAACCAGATAAATTTGAAAAATGAGCCCGAAATCAATGATTTTGGCCTCTTGGGGCCTCTTGGGGCCTCTTGGGAAGGCTCTTGGAGACCTCTTGAGGGGTCTCGAAGGCATGTTGGACCGTCTTGGGACCATCTCGGGCGTCTTGGGGCGATTGTTCGGCGATTCGGAGCACTCGTGGAGCGTCTGGGCGGGCTTTTGTGGGTGGCTCTATTGGCTCGTCTCGGGGCCCCTGTCGGCCCGAAGAAGTCATGCGACAAGACTCGGCGCGCCCCAGGAGGCACACGCGGAAAGCCCCGGAAGGTTCGGCAATTTCAGGTCCGGGCCTTTGAACGAATCCTCAGGACTGAGGGGATCGAACAATTGACCTGAGGACACTCCAACTCGCGCCTCGCGGGCACGGAGGCGGATCCGTCGGTTCCTATCAAGGGTATCGGGGGCGGGCATATTTCAATGCCGCTAATTGGTTTGGGGACTTGGCTATACAACGACACTGTTGCAGGCGCAGCTGTCTCTGCTGCTCTCGGCTTAGGTTATCGAGCCGTGGACACTGCAGCAGTCTATAAAAACCAGCGCGGAATCGGAGAGGTCCTGGCGAAGTTTAGTCGAGATGAGTTTTTTGTCACCAGCAAGATCCCAGGAGGCCTCAATGCATCCGCATCTGTGTCCGCACTTGACGCATGCCTCAGTGACCTCCAGCTCGACTATGTCGACCTCATGTTGCTTCACTGGCCTGCGCAGACCCTCGCTGCGGTTCAGGAGCAGTGGCTGGCTCTTGAAGAGTGGGCAAAGTCGGGCAAGGCGCGGGCGATAGGCATATCCCACTACTGCAAGGCGCAGATGGAAGCCGTGCTGAAGGTGGCGACATTACCGATTGCCGTGAATCAAAACCAGTACCACGTGGGGATGGGCCACGACACACAGCCCAGACTGCACGACAAAACCTTCGCGGAAAGCCACGGGATCCTTTATGAGGCCTACTCTTCGTTGTGCGGACCCTGCCCGGAGCCGCACAACACGGAGCTTATTACGGGGCCTCTTGTGACTAGCATCGGTCGCGTGCATAACAAGTCTGGCTCTCAGGTTGCGCTTCGATGGGTCGTTCAGCAAGGCATTCCTGTGATACCGAAGAGTGCAAGCCCAAAACATCTTCAGTCCAATTTCGACATTTTCGATTTTGAGCTCACCGATGCTGAGATGGCCACGCTGAGCGCTGCCACGTCTCCGCCAGAGACGGGGACGCCGCAGGCGCCGGACGACGCTCAAGATTGCTCTGCGGAAGGATCTCCTGTTGTCGTGTGAGAAGAGTGTTGCAGTTGCGCTGCTGGTGGATGGAATTACCGACTCGACGATCAAGCCTCGTCTCACTTATGTCTTACGCAGCTGTCGCAACACAGAGGCAGCTGATCGCGCCTCAACGCCAGCCCCGCTTCTGCCCAGCACGAGGCACCCGCAGACTGGTTGTTTGGAGGCGCTCTCGACCGTCGCCGGCAACAGTCCGAATCGAAACTTATGTTCTTGTTCATGAATCACCTACATCCTTGAGGATGCATGTGTTCGGCAGCAAATCGTGGAAGCCGTGTATACCCTCGTAAATCCCGTCGGCCAGCGTCGATTAGCGTCTGGGAGTCGATGGGATGGCGCCGATGTATCGTCGGCTTGCGTCGATTAGCGTCGATGTAGCATCGATTAGCGTCGATTTAGCGTCGACGAGCGTCGATTCGCAAGAGCCGACAAGATGGTATGGGAGGCTCCCATGAGTTACCACCGACATGTTCTTGTTCATGCGTCACCCACGTCCTTGAGGATGTATGGTGCGCAAGATCTCGCAAACTATATGGCCCCGAGGTTGTTGGCAGGGGCTCGTGCCTCGGTGGTGGCCAAACTCCGAGTCGAGAACGCTGATCTTGCTTAGGTGCAGGCCATCTTCTTCGATGGCAAGGTACAGTGGAGACCCATGCCACGAAACACCCTGCTTGCCTCCAGGGTGCCCCAGGTTTCTTGGGCTTCGATGGTTTCATGTGGGAGCCGTGACGTTCCCACCCCAAAAATCAATGGACGTCTTGGGGTTCCAGGGTTCGGTTTCTTGTGGAAGGTTTCTTGTGGTCGACCTCCTACTGTACGCCGGGACTCGCTCCAAACATCCCAGAGGCGATGTATGTGAGAAGCGAGTGGCTTTCGGCCCATGCCGCCGCCGTGCCCGGGTCGTTCTCTCCGGCCTTTGGTCACTCGGGAGATCTCTTGGGGGCCTGTTCAGTGCGTCCCGATGGCATCCTGGATGCGCGGCGCCTCCAGGCCTGGCATCGCTCGGACGTGTGCAGTTTTTTCTCGGCGAGGACCATCGAGGAGCATCCTTGATCGTTTGGCGAAAAAACCACGCACGAAACCGAAAAAAACAGTGGACGTCCCGGACACAGCGAAAAACCACACACGAAACCGAAAAAAAACACGCACGAAACCCAAAAAGCACACGAGCGATGGCCAGTGGGCCGTCTCGGAGGCCTCTCTTTGGGGGCCTCCCGGGAGCCCCTCCAAGGCGTCTGGAGGCCTCCGGTTGGGGGGGCCTGGGCGGGCTCCAGGCTCGCCTTGGGGGGTGGAGGGCCGCCGCGTGTCGTGCCGGGTGTGCTTCCCCTCTTCTCGGTACTCCAGATTTCGTAATAAAAGGGAGGGGGTCTGGACCCTCCAAGACAAGCCATTTCAGACCTCCCCCGTGGGAGAACCCTCCAAAGCATCGTCCCCAGACCCCCCAGGCCCTCCAAGATAGCTTGGAAAAGACCCCCCCCCGAAATGAGACCCCCCTCCCTTTATTACGAAATCTGGAGTACCGCTCGGACGTGTGCACGTTGTCTCGGCGTGGAGTATGAAGGAGCATCCTGGATCACCCTGCGAAAGAGCCACGCACGAATCACCAGCCTCGAACGTATCCCTGTCCCTAAGATTGACACGCCAAAAGGCGATGACAATCTTAGGGATCCGCCTTCAAATTAGCCTGGCGAAGGACCCAACCATATGCAGTTGTGAATGCCGCAATTGTGCTGGGTGGTGGCGGACGCATGCGGGCGGTGCCACTGGGACCTTCGGTGGAGCTCCCTATGGGGCCACGAAACGCTGTACTGGGTGGGTGAGACGCGGTCAGCAAGGGCTGTGCTGCGTGGTGGCGGACGCATGCGAGCGGTGCCACTGGGACCTTCGGTGGAGCTCCCTATGGGGCCACGAAACGCTGTACTGGGTGGGTGAAACGCAGGCAGGGAGCAAGGGCTGTGCAGGGTGGTGGCGGACGCATGCGGGCGGTGCCGCTGGGACCTTTGGTGGAGCTCCCTATAGGGCTACGAAGCGTTGTTCTGGGTGGGTGAAGCGCAGGGAACAAGGGCTGTGCTGGGTGGTGGCGGACGCAAGCGGGCAGTGCCACTGGACCTTTGGTGGAGCCCCCTATGGGGCCACGAAGCGTGCGAGGGGTGTGCCAGAATGGGGTGTGGAACCGCATGCCAGCGCAGCCACTGGGGCCTTCGGTGGAGCTTCCTATGGAGCCACGAAGCGTGTGAGGGGTGTGCCGAAATGGGGGGTGGAACCGCATGCGAGCGCAGCCATTGCGGCGTTGGTGGAGCTCCCTATCGGGCCACGAGACGTGTGAAGGGCGTGCCGAAAAAGGGGGTGGAACCGCATGCGAGCGCAGCCACTGGGGCCTTCGGTGGAGCTCCCTATGGGGCCACGAACGTGTGAGGGGTGTGCCGAAATGGGGGGGGGAACCACATGCGAGCGCAGCCACTGGGGCGTTCGGTGGAGCTCCCCATGGAGCCACCCACGAAGCGTGTGAGGGGTGTGCCGAAATGGGGGGTGGAACCGCATGCGAACGCAACCACTGGGGCCTTCGCTGGAGCTCCCCCTGGGGCCACGAAACGTGTGAGGGGTGTGCCGAAATGGGGGGTGGAACCGCATGCGGACGCAGCCACTGGGGCCTTCGTGGAGCTCCCCCTGGGGCCACGAAACGTGTGAGGGGTGTGCCGAAATGGGGGGTGGAACCATGCGAACGCAGCCACTGGGGCCTCGGTGGAGCTCCCCTGGGGCCACGAAACGTGTGAAAAGGGGTGTGCCGAAATGAGGGTGGAACCGCATGCGGCGCAGCCACTGGGGCCTTCGGTGGAGCTCCCTATGGGGCCACGAAACGTGTGAGGGGTGTGCCAGAATGGGGGGTGGAACCGCATGCGGCGCAGCCACTGGGGCCTTCGGTGGAGCTCCTATGGGGCCACGAAAACGTGTGAGGGGTGTGCCGAAATGGGGGTGGGGAGGCATGGGCGAACCCCGAATGTGGCTTCCATGCCGAAACGTGTGAGGGGTGTGCCGAATGGGGGGGGTGGGGAACCGCATGCGACGCAGCCACTGGGGCCTTCGCTGGAGCTCCCTGGGGCCACGAAACGTGTGAGGGGTGTGCCGAAATGGGGGGTGGAACCGCATGCGAACGCAGCCACTGGGGCCTTCGCTGGAGCTTTCCCTGGGGCCACGAAGCGTGTGAGGGGTGTGCCGAAATGGGGGGTAGAACCGCATGCGAACGCAGCCACTGGGGCCTTCGCTGGAGCTCCCCCTGGGGCCACGAAGCGTGTGAGGGGTGTGCCGAAATGGGGGGCGGAACCGCATGCGACGCAGCCACTGGGGCCTTCGTTGAGCTCCCCCAGCCACGAAACGTGTGAGGGTGTGCCGAAAGGGGGGGTGGAACCGCATGCGACGCAGCCATTGGGGCCTTCGGTGGAGCTCCCTATGGGGCCACGAAACGTGTGAGGGGTGTGCCGAAATGGGGGGTGGAACCGCATGCGAACGCAGCCACTGGGGCCTTCGCTGGAGCTCCCCCTGGGGCCACGAAACGTGTGAGGGGTGTGCCGAAATGGGGGGTGGAACCGCATGCGGACGCAGCCACTGGGGCCTTCGCTGGAGCTCCCTATGGGGCCACGAAACGTGTGAGGGGTGTGCCAGAATGGGTGTGGGAGGGGGAGGAGGGGGGAGGAGGGAGGGAGGAAGGAGGCGGGAACGCGGGGCACCGTCTCTTCAAAACGAGGACCCAACACCACAGGATGGTTGGGAAAAACAAGGGAACCCCTAAGATTGGCATCGTGATGAGGAGGTGCCCAGCATGGGGATAGGGATATGTTCCCGAGCGACGCCCAGCCTTGGGACCTCTCCCGGGGCCCTTTTCAGGCCAGCTACAACTGGGGGAGCTGTGGTCCTTACCCCCCTGGGGGACCCATCGATTTCGACACCCCTCTCGAGAGATCGTCGATGCGATGGGTTCCCCCAGAGGGGGTAAGGACCACAGCTCCCCCAGTTATGGCTGGTCGGCTTTTGTCGTTGCCCCTGTGGGCCTCTCCTGCGGGGCCTCCGTGGGGGGGGTGGGCCCTCCGGCCTGCGCGCGCGCGCCGTGGAGGGCGAGGCCGCCCGGCGGGCCACGGCAGGTTTTGGCCGCTGACAGACCTCCTGCCGGGGAAAAGACACACAGACTCAATTCTGCGGGCAATGTCTATGTCCACATCCATTGCGTCTTGGAGTTTCGGACTCTCTTCCCAAGAAACATGAGGCGCACTGGATACGGATTATAATCTGCCTCCAAAAAGACTAGATGTTTATCCATATCCAGTGCGCCTCGGCCTTCCGGCGTCCCTTCCGAGAAAGTCCAAGACGCACTGGATATGGATATAAATATTGCCCGCAACTTCGTCGTCGATTCCCAGGAAGATGTGGGAAAGTACGGCAAGTGGGGGGAGAGGCACACACCCAGAGCAGATGGGAAATGTGGGGGGATCGTGCTATTTGTATGTCTATCTATTTGTGTGTCCCAGGGCCCCTTCATCCTACCCTGACACGTCGATTAAGGAATTGGCCGTTTTCGGTTCGCGAGAGGGCGTCGCGGCCGTCACTTTTGCGGGTCCAGGTCCGTCGGTTTCGGTCCCAGGCCGGTTTCATTAAGGGGAGGTTTATTAAAGGGAGGTTTGTCCGCCTCCGAAGTTTCACCAGATACGAGATCGAACGGTTTGCACGAGCTGGGCCTCCGTTGCCAGCTCCCATGGCCTCCAAGACGACCCCCGGGGTCGCCAAGGTCGCTCCCGGGCGGCGCCGTCTTGGAGCGTGCGGGCTGAGGCCCGCAGCCACTCTCCCGAGCCCCGTGGAGAAGGCACGCGGGGATGCCCGGGAGCGCCCCGGAGCGCCCTGGAATTCGTGGTGTGTCGGCCGCGCGCCGAGCGGGGCGTGTGGGGGGGGGAGGGCAGGGCTCGTTTCGACTCCTCCGATTCGGTTCGATTCGATTTCGATGCTTTCCG